TCGGCCTAGAAACCTTCCCACGATCGTGCATCCGCAGGCCATCTGACATTGTGTTTTCTCAAAATCAGGATCGGCAGGTCAATCGGCGATGAGAATCCCCCCCCGGCGTACGGTCCTGGGTACGTTGCCGCCTGCTCCTCCGCGGCAGCACCCCCCTGTCACTTTGGGAGGGTCCTCGAACCCTTTGCGCCCCACCACAGGTTGCTCGGATGCTCTGGTACGTACATGCGAGGATGCCGTTTCGGCGGTGCAGTGACTCAAGGGCAAGACAGGTACGAAGGAGGAGAGAGGGACAGCCCATGCGGGTGGGTGTGCAGTAAAAGCAGGGACAGGCTTGCCACATTGGCAGCTCAAAGTGGAGCACGTCTGCTATGGATCCAAGCTTTTGTGGGGAAGGCGGACAAAAACCACCGATCCCCCCGCGGATTGTCGATCTAGACGTATACTAAAGGCGTCGGCGTGAGGACCCTTAACAAACATAGTGACGTAGGCTGCTGCTCCGTCAGGGACTTCTGCCGGTCGAATCTCCCTACCCACCAGGTTTTGGAAAATCTGCATTCCCTCGCTGCCGGATGCAAATGGTTCTTTGGGTACAAGGAGCCGAGTGGCGCGTTTTCGCTGTGCCTCGCGCGGCCTCCATTGCTTCCATGATGGTCTTCACCAGCCACAACATGGCAGCTGTGGCTCGGTTACAACGGCAGCGCGACCATGGGAGTGGGCAAGCGGTTAGCGTCCTCCGATTCAAAGATGCCCAACTCACTGGTAGGCTGGGGTCAGAGGTAGGCTGCCAGGGTCTCCTGACGGCGCAAACTCTCGTCATGTGGATGGGCCTCGACGTACTGGCCATGTACATGTAAAGGAGGGGCTGCCAGTATCCATGGAGCGAATGCTCCGGCCATCAATGTCAAATCATACCCGCATCATACAATCTATATTGACTTGTCCATCACCAGCGGCCACGAGTAGCGATCTATTCGCCTCGACGCGCAGAGTTTTGCGCGCGTTGCAACTCGTTCGCACACCAGAAGAACGGCGGGGTCCGGGCTTAGCGCCGTGAACCCTTGCTACCATCAGCCTGGCCCTGATTTCATGCTTCGGCAACCGTCAGAAGATGACATTTTCTTGCTGCCCCACACCAATGTTCGAAGCCACAGTGTTGTGGCGGGCGTCATGACTTGCCGGAGCCTGGTGCGACGCACGTTGCCAGACACTAAAGCCGCATCTTCTTGTG